TGCACGTAGTTGTTGTTCGGCAGTGAAATTCATAGTCTTTGCAGTACCCAGTTAATGTTTTCGAAGTTTAATACTGCAAAAAGAATGAAAGTGAATATACTATACTTTGAAAAAGAAAACGGAATGACGGAATCATATGGTGTTGTTCATATATAACCAAGAGAGGAGTTCAAAGAATCTTAACTTGTTGCATTTCATAATAAAACAGTGGAAAAGCATGAACTAGCTAGGTGTGCTAGTTCAAATATGTACCATATCATCACCTTGAAATAGTATGTCATTCGCAAAAACTTTTGGGGAGAATATGAAAAAGTGTGATATTACATTGCATTAAAAAATAAAGTTTTAAAAATACTCACGAGGATGTTGATATTTTAAAAGAGGAACATTTCAAAGGAATTTCTAAAAAATGGTTTTCCCATTCTAAAAAAACTAGAAGTTCAAATTAAAATATCGGTGCGGTCCAATGTTTATAAAAAAGGATTTTCCCCATTACTAACCAATAAATTTAAGAAATTCAAATTTAAAAAATGGTAAAGTTAGATGTCTATTAAAAATTTAGGTTTTTCTCATTCGTAAAAGAATAAAACCAAGATGTTCAAATTTAAAAAATGGCGATGTCTGATGTTTGTAAAAAAACGAATTTGAGCAAAGAATGATTTCCTGCATTAAAAAAAAGGAGATTAAATTAAAAATAACGGTGTAGTCGAAAGTTTAAAAAAAATCCAAAATTTAACTTTTCAAAATTAATAAAAGCCTAGAAGTTCAATTTAGAGTAACAAATCATTTGATTTTCACCGTTTAAAAAAACCCCGAGAAGTTCGGTTCAAGAAACCTAAGAAGTTTAAATTTTAAAACACAGTTTTTCCTTGCTGCTAAACCAATAAAAATCGAGAAGTTCAAATAAAATAACGAAGAAGTATACGGAAAAATCAAATTATTTCTGTTTCTAGGAAAAATAAAAGTAGGAAATTTTAATTTTAAAAATTTTGTTTGATGCTTATTTGAAAACATATTTTTCCAGTAAAAAAAGATGAAGTTCAAACTGAAATAACAAAGAATTTCAAAATTTATTGAAACCTAGGATTTACCTGTTCAAAAAATAAAAAAACACAACTCCATTTTTTGCATTTTTTAAAACAACTCATTAACGAAAAAAAATGGTGAAGTTCAAATAATATATAAATGATTTTCCTTATTTAAAAAAACTAGAAGTTCAAATTAAAATAATGGAGTGGTCCGATGTTTATAAAAGATAGAATTTTCCCGTTACTAACAAAGATCTAAGAAGTTCAAATTTTAAAAATGGTGAAGTTCGATGCCAATAAAAAAACCATATTTTTCTCGTTATTAAATGAATAAAACTTAGCAGTTCAAATTTTAGAACATCTTCATGGTTAGATGTGTGTTAAAATCATGTGAGTGTATGTGTGTAGGTGTGTGGCAACACAAAAGTTCAGATGAGGAAAAGGTAATAAAATGAAACCTAAAAATGTTCATTGCAACAAGTTCCAAAAAGAAAAAGGAACACACCATTGAAATATCCACATGGCTAGGAAAATGAAAAAAAAATTGATTTGCCCCATTCTATAAAAACTAGAAGTTCAAATTAAAAATAACGACACGATATCATTGTTTTAAAAAAATCATTTTCCCGTTACTAACCAATAAAACTAAGAAGTTCAAATTTAAAAAATGGTGAAGTTCGATGTCTATAAAAAATTCGGATTTTTCACATTATTAAAAAATAAAACCAAGAAGTTCAAAATTTTAAAACAAAGAGGTTCGAAAAACTCGATTTTTCTCGTTACTAAAAAATAAAACTAAGAAGTTTAAATTAAAATAACAAAAAGTTCAAAGTTGATAAAAACCTCAGATTCTCATTTTAAAGAATAACTAATAAATTCAAATTAAAATAAGGGAATAACAAAAAAAGTTTTTTAAAAAATTCCCCGTTTTTCTAAATTCGGATTTTCCCTTATACTAAAGATTAAACCAAGAAGTTCAATTTGAAAAAACTGAGTAATTCAATGTACATTAAAAACTTAGTTTTTCTCGTTACTGAAGAATAAAACCAAGAAGTTCAATTTTAAAACATGGAGAAGTTTTTACTACATGATGTGTGTTTAATATGAGAAAAATGAATTAAAAGGCAAGGTCCCAATTTTTAAAGAGAACTCACATTTTCCTTGTTATAGAAAACTCAGATTTTCTTCATTATTAAAGAATGTAAACAAGAGGTTCTACAATAAAATAACAAGAAGTTCAACTTTTAAAAATAGAGCGCTTCAAGATTCATAAAAAGGGATTAAGAAATAAAACCAGGAAGTCCATATTAAAAATATGGAGAAGTTCGAGGATTATAGAAAACTCAGATTTTCCTCGTTATTAAAGAATGGAAACAGGAAGTTCAAAAATAAAATAACAAGAAGTTCAACTTTTAAAAAGTAGAGCGCTTTAAGATTCATAAAAAGGATTAAGTAAATCATATTAAAAATTCATAAAAAAACTTAGATATTTTCACGTAACCAAGAGAAGTTCAGATTGATAACTGCCGAAAGTTCACGTACTACACGGTGTGCATTTTGTATTAAAAAAAGAATAAAAAAGCAAAGTCTAAAAGTTTTGTTGTTATAAGTTCAAGTCCTCCATCGGAGAAAGTTTAAAAAATTATTGTGGGAGAGATTTGTACCAAAGGAATATCATTTGTGTAACACGGACAAATGGATGAGAAAATTACAAACGAAAATACGCCACAGAAGTTCAACGTGAAAACAGCAGGAAGTTCAACTACTACGTTGAATGAATTTGAGATGAAAAACTTTTAAAATCGTCGTGAGTACGAAAAAACGATCAACACGGGAAACTTGCATGCTTACAGTAGCTTTCCATCGGTATATCACCTGCTCAATTCCGGTGAATGAATGGAGAGTTACGAGCAGTGGATGGAGACCTATGAGCAAAAAAATCACGTGAAAAACAGAGTGAAGTTCAGGTACACGCGCCGAGAAGTTCAGGTTCTTCACGCGATGCATTTTCGAAGAATCTGTTTCGTGATAAAGGCAGAACGAATGATCTCGCCATTTTCGCAATTACTTGAAAACGCCTAAGAATCAAAGAAAAGCATCAACATGAAAAAGTTTCGCATTTTCTGTAGCTTTTCAATAGTGTATTATTTGCCCAATTCTGATAAAGTTTGTAGAAATTACGGCGAAAATATGTTTTTCGCCATTTTTGAAACTGACTTAAAACCATAAAGAATTGGGAGAAATAATACATACCAAAAAGTTTTGCATTTGTTCAAGCTTTCCAACGCCATATCATTTGATGCATTCGGACGCACGGTTAAAAAATTAGCTCGAAAATACGAACTCGGTAGGACTTGGATCATTTTCTAAATTACTCTTAAACCATTCAAAATTAGAAAAAAACTTTCAAGATGAAAAAGTAGCGCATTTTCATAAGCTTTCCAATGCCGTATCATATGCCTTCATTAGATTAGCCGTTTAGAAATGACATCGAAAAAATGAACTCGGCTGTTCGGTTTACAAAATTGTACGTTTTTTCAAATTACTCTTTAACCATAGGGAATTAGAGAAAACTTTCAACATGTGGAAGGTGCAGTTTTGCAGCAGCTTTCCAACGCCATATTATATGCCTCATTCTGATAAACGTTTTAGAAATGCGATCGAAAATATGATTCACATTTTTTGTGCAAAGAAAAAACGGTTTTCAAAACTGCTATTAAACCGCTTATATTTTGCCAAAAATTTAAGTTGGGTCATGATATTGGTGTCCATAGCTTTCCAACGGTATATCGCAAGCCCCATTTGGGCAATGTTGGCGGAAGTTCAACCTAGTTCATAGGGAAGTTCAACGTACTACTAGCGGGACATGTCAGGTTGTGATCATAATATTATTCTGATCCCGTGATCAGAATAGTGACACTATTCTAATCCCAGGATTAAAATAACTATTTGGATCACGACGCGCCCTATATGGGCCCGATGAGATGTTCCGGAACTAGCCGAACTGCCACGATCCGTTCCTAACCCCGACCCATCCCCCTCCATCCCGTCCCTAACCCCCACTCCCTCGATCGGCGGCTACCTTCCCCGAATTAGGCCACCGCCATCGCCGCCCTCCCGAATCGCGCCACCACCGCGGCTGCCCTCCCGAAGCGCGCCACCACCGCCGCCCTGCCCCACGGCGCAGCTCCCGGCCTCCCAGCGAGCCGCCGCCCTGCCCCGCCCCTCG